GCGCCCGGTCGGCGCTTCCGTTTTTTTTTTTTCCCTGACCCCTCACCTTGATATGAACACTGGAGTAAATAAAACTGATGTATTCTGCATATAAAACTATGAGATTCAGGCTGTTATAGTGGAAGTCTAGGAATCTAAGAAAATACCCGATTGTATTGGACAAGGCAATTACTGTATATTTTTCTTATAAAGATTATTACTGTGCATTCCAAATTACTAGGGATGCACCGATACTGGAAAAACCGGAGTATGAGAGCTTCCTGATTAGCCGGGAAGCGTGTAATGACTCGCTGCCTGGCTTCCAGATCACCAGGTGACGAGGAAGCATGGATTCCGCTTTCTGGTCAATCAGCAAGCCGGGGGGCATGTAATGACTCGCCGCCTGCCTTCCCGATTGGCCAGCTTCCTGACCAATCAGGAAGGCGGGCGGCAAGTCATTACAGGGCGCCCAGCTTCCTTATTAGCCGGGAAGGCAGCTTCATGCTCTTTGGCGAGGATGGAGCATGGAGTCGGCTTCCTGATACCAGAAGTTCCGGTATCGGGATAGGCATTGGTATGGGTGAATCCCTGAAAATTACATAAAAAGAAACTCCAAACATAACCCATTAAACTGCCATTTCACATTCATTATCCTGAAATAAAGCAACAACAAAACCACAAATATGACAAAGTTTATTTAATAATTTACAGTAAATTTCAGAAGCTTAGCATCAGAAATATTTTCTTCAGCTGTCTGCTATGATGTCTTTAACATACAAACTGTCTGTGTACTACAAGGCAGCCATATGTCTTTACCTGAGAGAAAAGGGTCCAACAGGAATATGTCGGTGAAATCTGGACAAATACGTTCCAGCTGCTGTTACAGTATATGACATGTTGCTCATATCAACACAGGCTTTTATACAAAAGGTATGAGGATGTGAGCCTCTTAGCATTCTTGGATGAATCCAAGTATGTCCAACTTTTAAAATATACCTGTGCCTACAGAGATATAGGGCCTGCCATTGCTGCCCTTCTGAGAATACTAGGTGCCTGACTGTGTCTAGCTTCAATACTTTCTGAGTCCGTGACCTAGAACAGGCAGTTTTCAAAGTATGAAATCAGAACTTACTTGTTCTGGAAATACTGAAGACCCTGGATATGCATGACAGCTAGACAACTAAGATTCCAAGAATGAGAGGTCAGGGATGGCAGACTCCATATTCTTTCAATACAAGTTCCTCTTAGAAACTACAAGACTCAATATTACTGACAGACACAACATGATTTAGCATAGACTGCAACTCATCCGTGTCCTATGTACGAGTAGGATCTCACAAACTTTAACCCACTTTACTTCCTGAACATGCATAATGCTTAAAGACCAAAGCAATGTTTTTATTTTATCTATAAGCCTACTGATTCAACAATAACTGTCATTACAATCAAGTCAATAAAACATATGGAAATTAAAAAGCATATGCAAATATCCAACGAGTAAAAATAGCTCCTTTACTGAATACATACTGTATTAAAACCTTATGAGGAGCCCTAGCAGAGCCCCACACAATGTCCTATACATGTTTCAATGTATATCCTATTATACCAAAAATCCTTAATGATGCATGGTTTCAAATATGCTCCCTGGCATCTGCCTCTAATTTTTTTAGAACCCCCCCCCCCAAAAAAAAGGGGAATATTGCAGCTTATCAGTCCTTAGATCAGGATGCTGCATTAAATTGTTTTGTCTTTTTTTTTTACCTGGTGATGTTAAACACTTTAGTCACTTCTCTACTGTATTTATCAACTACTGTATCTATGCAAACATATCTGCCTTTGTTTAACTCCATTACATTGTGAATTCATTGGACTAGTAGTTTACACAATAAAGATTATGTTCTTAGTGCTTTTTTTTCACAGAAAGTCATAAGGGGTCTTTACTTGCTGAAAATGTTCTTGAAAAGTGAAAACTAAGGCGGCTACAATGTCTAAGTACCGATCAGCTGCTATATATTACATTTGTTTTAGGTACACCTCAATGTAGGACTGTCTTGCATTCAATCTTCCTGATTCACTAAACCTGTTTGCATGTGGAAAAAAAAATCCCTCAACTTTGAACACGCATTTGTTTCTTATTCAAGAGATCAATCAATATATTCCCAGATATTCACATCACACACCATCCTGGAGTTAACCTTGTTCACTGATATTGTAACCCCAAAAACGTGATTCAGTTGATGCTACATAAATCAAACTGTTTTTAGGGAATAAGGTGTGCTGGTGAAATATGTTGTTTTTAATTTAAGAGATCATTTGTGTGCACCAATATGAGCCAAAATTGTTTGAGTGAAAATGTTTTCCTATGTAAACTAGACTATGTGCACAGACTTTTTCATGGGTTGAAATGCCAGAAAGTGCACAAATTTAAGCAAACACAATGAAAGGGGGTATCTGACACTCCCAAAAGTAAGAGGAATTAATGTTATAATACAGGATTTATAAGCGGCAACAGTTTGTGAAGCGCTTTACAAAATAAAGGGCGATAGTACAGTTGCAATACAAGACAAGATGGTTAGGAGGCTCATGAGAGCTTACAATCTTAAAGGAAGGGGCAAGTAAAAACAAAGGACAAAAGTTGTGAGGGATGAGTTGATGGAGAATGTAATTTTAGTTGTTAGGTAGAGATGGAATAGGCTTGCCAGGAGAGATGATTTTTCAGGGATTGTCCAAATGCAGACAGGATGGGGTAAGCATATCCTGAGGATGGGAGAGGTTCTGGATAAATCCTGGAGGCAACCACAATGATCACAGTGATCACAATGTGATTACTAGTGATCACAATGTGATTACTTTTAATATTGAACACAGAAAAGGGAAGTGTACTGGAAGGACTAGAACCCTAAACTTCAGAAGGGCCAACTTTGATAAGCTGCGCAACTTAGTGGGGGAAATAAAAAGCAGTTAACGAGTAAGCGAGAAAGCAAGAAGTCACGAGGACGATTTGGGTGATATTATGAGACAAGGTTGGTGATGTAGCTCAGGAAAGAGTTGTGGATGGCTTTGTATGTTGCCGTTAGTATTCTGAATTTTTTTTGCTGGGCGAACAGAAGCTGCTGAAGGGATTGGCAGAGACGGGCAGTGGACAGAAAGCAGTTGATAAGGTGGCTGAGTCTGGCAGTAAAATTCATGATAGTGTGAAGGGGATACCCTTTTAGAGGTAGGCCAACCAAGGAGGAGTTGCAAAAGTTGAGGAAAGGAATAACAAGGAAGTAAAAAGCAGCCTGGTGGTGTCATTGGTTAAGAAGTGGTGAGTTTTGGAAATGTTAGGGAAGTGAAGGTGGCAAGATTATGGCAGTGACTGGATGTGGGGCCTGAAGGAGAGATCAGTGTTCAGGATTACATCTAGCACCCCGGCATTAGGGGAGGCAAGGATAGTTGTCCTATTTATCTCAATGGAACAGTTGGGGAAGGGGAAACATTACGATCTCAGTTCTGGAAAGGTTGAGTTTTAAGAAGTTGTGTGACATCCACACTGATATGTCAGTTAGTGGATCAGTAATGCATGAGGTATTTGCTGACCAATCATTAATGCAGCTTGACAAGTTGCCATGGTAAGCAGGGGTATCCTACATTACCTAATCAATTTAGGCACAATATTATAAAATCAAAGAACATTCAAATAACAATGACAGAAATAATCCAAAAGAAGTTTAAAACCTTTTCTAAAATGTTAAATTGAAATGCTTACCAAGTAAAGTCATAACATGTCCACGCTGCATGGCCAATATAGTTCCACTTGGAACATTTACACATATATTTAGAATAATACAGATACATTTTTATATAATAGTACCCATGTGTTGGAAACACAGACGAATGACCCAGACTCCTGACCGCTGAATCTCTTCCTAGAATTCCTAGGTTCTTCAGGCATAGCAGTGACGCCTTTCAAATAGTTTGATACAAATTTGCAAAAGTGAGTTGTAAGAATGAGTCTGTTATTTATTTGCTATACCCAGTTATAGTTTTGTCTTTTTATTGATAAAACCTTGACAGAGGAGAGGATAGATAAGATTAGAGCACTTTGCTAATCCATAGCAAAATACGAGCGCAGTATGCAGAAACAATGGTTCAACTTAGCTTGTAGCTACTCTTTAGCAACCTGTTAGAGGAACCTATATGGAGGCTGTCATCGCTGACCCTTCATAAAATGCCAATTGCCTGGGTACCATGCTGATCCAATGGCTTTTGGTACATTCTGAGGTACTGACCATAAACATTTTTTGAAGATTAGGCATTCTGACTATACCCTATCTAATCTTAATGCTTGTTTTGGGGAATCGGAAAGCATGAAAACCAGAGGCAGCTAATATTCTTCGAAGCAGGTTAGAAATTGTAGCTTCCACATTTCTCTCAGCACAGGTTTCCTTTATTTTATTGCTTTGTGAGTTCCTACTCACCAAGGCTCCATCTTCTCTATACTGTATTGCTTTACTATTTACTGTACTATCCACCAAGCAGCACAAATGCCATTTACTTGATCAAAAATCATAACAAGCAGTGTTCAATATTAGGAATGTTCTATTTGTGGAAACTACATAAATTTTATTAAGATATGGTGCAGAATTTTCAAAGAAATGTGTTGCTAGTCTTCATGTAAAGATGACTTATCAGCTAATGCATTTAATTTGGACCTGCAGAGACACTTGGGTGATTACGCTACTGTAAGAATCCTAACATCAGTATGGGATTTCCTACTCCATTGGTTATATGGGGCAGTTTACCCACAACCTCTCAAGGAAATTGGGGTTATTCCTGATAAGAGGTAGTTTATGAGATGACCAAGTAATATTTATATGCAGATTAGATAAAAATACTTTGGAAAGGTCAGTTTTCCTTTAAGTGCTTGGCTTAGGCCAACATAAAAAAATTAAAATAAATTCTGTTTGACACAAATAATAAATCAGCATGATTTGCTTAGATTTCTCCACAATTCGATAAAGGGTTGTCAAATGTTTTTTATCTTCTAATTTTAGTCAATTTATTTTTGCTGTGATCACACTCATTCCTCATCCCGTTCCTATGATGTTTTCACATCTTTCTTACTAGACTCTTTAGACTCCAGTTTTTGCGCTGCTTGCTCAAGATCTGTAACAATCACATCTACATCTTCTCTGGATGTCTCCCGACCTACACTCAAACGAACGGCACCACGGGCGGCTTCCTGAGGTACTCCACTGCTCAGCAGTACATGGGAAGGACTGCAGGAAAAATTTCAAGGTGTAACATGTAAGTATATTTTCGACATGTAATGCCCACTACAAAATGATGCTGAAATAGAAATATGATAGAGGTGGAGAGTTACCCAGTGATCAAGGCTTTTAATTATTAACTGCCCGTTCTTAAAAGACCGACACAAAAGGTAAGCTCCATGAACAAAAACAGGAAGCTCATGGCAACCAAACTCCAACTGTTTTTATATACAGAATAACAACGATTAACCCTCTCCCTGCCACCAACGTAAGGCTTACGGCAGAACACAACCGTTTCCAGCTGGCCATGTCAGTATGCCATACGTTGGTGGCTTTTACAGTTCTGCTATAAGCTCAACTCATGCCAGAACTGTTCCCACGATGGTCCCCTTTAAAATAATAGCTGTTTAGAACCCTGATATTTCCCCAAAGCCCCCTCAACAGTAAAAAAAAAAAATAATAATAATAAAACAAAAAAAAACACAACCCCCCCCCCCCCCCATCCCACACACACATATTATACACATGCGACAATGTACACCATATTGTGGTGTACGCCATGCACATGAGCTGCGGTGCATTGTTAGAACACATTGCAGTGCTTGATTTGTTTTCTTTTCAAAATAACATTAATTTAACTGTGGCAGCGCATGGCAAAGTGTTGTGACGCATTGCTGTGCGTTGTGATATGTTGTGTTGTGATTAAAGGTACGCCTGTATCATTTCATCACAACACACACACCAGCACAGCGCACAAACGAATTTTAACATAAGTCATTTTACAGTTTCGCTTTACTTAATGTTTTTACCATTTCACAAAAAGGTGCAATTTAAAATTTACAACTATTTGTTATTTATTAACTCAGTACAGTTTATCTTTTAGATTTAGTCGGAAAAGTTTTTTTGTGTGCACCATTACTGATTTTAATGTGCTTTTATCCATTTAATTGTGTATTTTATTGGTTTCATATTGATTTGACAAACATTTGCGCAATTATCGCAGGACCTACAAAATTAGTAGCACCATCTTTTTATTCTACCGGGCCTGCGCTTTGAGAAAATATATGGTTTAGGGGTCTTTTACAAACACTAGCAACGCAGCAATAGAGAATCAAAATAATGGGAAAAATTGCAAAAATGGTGTGGCCAGCTGAGGTTTAAAGCGCAGAGCTTAGCGGCGAAAGGGTTAAAAGAAAAACTCTGATCGAAATAACATCAGAATATTGGTTTAAAGCTGAACTACTGGATACAATTGTATTTTTCAAACAGCACAAGTTAAGTAAGTTGTGTCTAATAATGAGTATACGAGGTGTGGATGACCATAAAAATCATACCTTGATTGAAGCCACATACTACAGAGAGTGCTGTATTTCCAGTGCTGCAGGGATAAAAGCAGCGTCTGTGACAGTGAAGGGCTCCAATTCTGTACCTTTAAGGAGGTGGGGCGTCCTCCTGACAGGCCTGCACCCAATTTGATATCTTCTGCCCCCATGTGCTCCAAGATGGAGACTCTCATAGTTTAGAGTTAGGACCGCACTATAAGAGGTGCCTTGGCGCGGCAGTGCGGCTTACACATCCTTTGCAGAAGACGTGTATCCAAACCTCTGTCATTGTCCTTAGTGGTGAGACAAGTTGTTTTACATGCTGGTTTGTGAGTGTGCCATGATGCCTTTCTACTGTTCTACCAATCATATACCCGCCTCCTCCTCTCTCCTGTTCCATTCACAAAAAGAATTCTATGTTTCCACAGAATACAAGGAGGGGAATTTATCAAAACTGGAGCAGACAAAATCTGGAGCTGAAGAGAGAAGCTGATTCGTTGCCATGGATTTTGATAAATTCCCCCCAAGTTGTTCTGTAAATGGATGTGACATGATCTCTCATCCTTTCACAGAACCCCCTTGCATTCTGTAAAAAGAAGACAAGACTTTTTGTGAATAGGCAATAAAGAGGAGAATGGGACAGGTGTACGACTGGAACTCTTTACTGTCATAGCCGCTGCTCTCATCTAGTCCAGCATCTGACAAAGTGAAAAATGTTCAGCACCCCCTCATCATGCAGCATGGATGGCAGCACAGCCTACATGGGTGAAAGCAGCGGTAGTGCATGTTGTATTATGGATAAAAACACACTTGTTTTCCTTTCTTCCTGGTTTAGACTGTAGTTATAACATGCCACACACAGGTTCCAGTTCAATGTTTTTCACCTTATGAGAGAAATTATGGAAGCTCATAAACAATGAGCAATTTTTCCCAAAAGTATATTTCACATTTCTAACAGTAGACTGGGGTAATGGCACAGTTTAGGAATAAAATGGTGCTTAAAGTGGATCTCTAGGCAAAAACCTGTTTTCAAGCAAGGAAGGTTTAGACCCTCTGTCAAGGTTTAATGCTTTCTGGGTCTCCATTGGAGAGATTCAATTCTCTGTCTGTACCAGTGAACATTGACAACAAGCAAGAAAATAAAGGAAATCTAAAATTTTATAGTAGTTCCCAGAACAAGGGTAAACCTTACAAGAGGTAAGAGTCAATCGTCCATCATTCAATGGGGACACCTGTGCTGGGGACAATTAAGAGGGAAATTTGCCTCACTGACATTGATTTACTCTAATTTTCTGTTTTGTCTCAGGGACAGAAAGTGAAGGAAAATTTCCCCATGACACACAGAAAATAAAAAAAACATCCGGAAGGGGTTTTAACTAGCGATGCACTGATACTAGTATTGGTACCAAAGCCGAGTATTTGGGCGCCCAAATGCTCCCATGCCTAGCCCGATACTTCCGGTATCAATTGTGACAAGAGAGCATGGAGCCGGCTTCCCAGCCAATCAGAAAGCCGGGCAGCGTGTAATTAAGCGCTGCCTGGCTTCCTGATTGGGCGGAAGCTGGCCAACGCGGTGCCCGGCTTTCTGATTGGTTGGGAAGCCGGTTTCATGCTCCCTCGTCACCTCATGAGGAGGGAGCATGGAGCTGGCTTCCCGGGTCAATCAGGAAGCTAGGCACCGCGTCATCACACAGCGCCCAGCTTCCTGATTGGTCAGAAAGCCGGGTCCATGCTTTCTCGTCACCTAGTGACGAGAAGCATGGGGGTGGCTTTCCTGCTAATCGGGAAGCCAGGTGGTAAGTCTTTACACACTGCCCGGCTTCCCAGCTAATCAGGAAGCCAGGTAGCGAGTCATTACACAGCGCCTGGTTTCCTGAATGGGACTTCCGGGTACTCGGTATCGGCGAGAACCGGAAAAAATTATATCAGTACTCATACTCGATACCGAAATACCGGTATTGGTGCATCCCTAGTTTTAACCCTTCCATACTTCAAAACAAAACGTTTTGGCAATGCATACACATTTTCAATCTTTCACTCTCTACTGGAATCTTTCCTACCCCTCTGAAACATGCCCTAGTCACCCCAATACCCAAAAAACCCTCACTGGACCCTACCAACCTCAATCATTTCAGACCTATCTCCTTACTCCCATTCACCTCTAAACTACTAGAGCGCCTTATCTACAACCGCCACCTTGTTAATAACAACCTTTTGGACCCCTTTCAGTCCGGCTTTTGCCTCATACACTCCACTGAAACCGCCCTCATAAAACTCAGCAATGACCTAATAACTGCTAAAAACAACGGCCACTATTCCTTACTCTTGCTATTAGACCTCTCTGCTGCATTTGACACTGTTGACCACCTGCTCCTCCTCAAAAAACTCCACTCGCTTGGCCTACAAGACACTGCTCTCTCATGGTTCTCCTCCTACCTAGCTATGCGCTCCTTTAGTGTCACCTACAATTCTAACTCCTCCCCTCCTCTTCCTCTTTCTGTAGGGGTCCCCCAAGGCTCTGTCCTTGGACCCCTTCTCTTCTCCATCTACACCACCTCCCTTGGTCAGTTAATAAGCTCACATGGCTTCCAATACCTTCTCTATGCCGATGACACTCAAATATATATTTCTACTGCACAACCCACCCTCTCAGTGTCCTTGCGTGTCACTAATCTACTAACTGACATATCAGACTGGATGTCGCAACATTTCTTAAAACTCAACCTTTCAAAAACTGAGCTCATGATATTTCCTCCCGCCCGTGCACCTTCCCCCAACATATCGGTTGAGATTGATAACACAACTATCCAGCTCTCCCCTCATGCCAAGGTGCTAGGTGTCACCCTTGACTCAGACCTCACCTTTCTTCCCCACATCCAATCACTATCCAAATCCTGCCGCCTTCACCTTCATAACATCTCCAAAATACGCCCCTTCCTCACCAATGAAACCACAAAACTACTCATACACTCGCTTGTTATCTCTCGTCATGACTATTGCAACTCCCTCCTCATTGGCCTTCCACTACACAGACTATCCCCCCTTCAGTCTATCATGAATGCAGCTGCTAGACTCATCCACCTGACCAACCGCTCAGTGTCTGCATCCCCCCTCTGTCAATCCCTGCACTGGCTTCCACTCACCAAGAGGATAAAATTCAAAATATTAACATTCACTTATAAAGCCATCCACAACTCTGCCCCCGGATACATCTCAAACCTTGTCTCAAAGTATCACCCTAACCGTACCCTCCGCTCTTCAAAAGATCTCCTGCTTTCCAGCTCCCTCGTCAACTCCTCCCATACTCTCCTCCAGGACTTCTCTAGAGTCTCTCCCAACCTCTGGAACTCTCTACCCCAACCTGTCCGTCTGTCTCCCACCTTGACTGCCTTTAGGCGATCCCTAAAGACTCATCTCTACAGGGAAGCCTATCCCACCGCAACCTAACCACTGAACAGTCACGTTCTCAAACAATTCATCCCCACACAGCTACCTCCTCATGTATCACTTTCCACTCCCCTTTCAGATTGTAAGCCCCCAGGGGCAGGGCCCTCCTTACCATCCTGTCTTGAATTGTATTGTGATTGTAATGTCTTCCTTCTATTGTAAAGTGCTGCGCAAACTGTTGGCGCTATATAAAGACTATGTAATAATAATAATGGAGTTCCTCATCAATGATTTCATTTTCACATACCTGTCTCCGCGGTCTGAGTGACAAGCTGCTCCAACACTTGCCTGAAGGGAATGACAATGGGCCAGCCATTCACGTCCTGCAAGCAAAATATGACAAAGAGCTGAGTAATGCAGACCGTACACAGACAGGTCTTGCTTTGTAGTACAGTACTCTCCAAACTAAATGTTTGTGCTTCATTAGAATTCTACACTTAATGTGACATTAAAGTCAGAAATGTTTTTCCCTCCCCCCAATGTTAATGTCAGCACTTACCTTTAATGATGTTTCCTAATCCGATCTTCTTCTTTCCTGTCCTTTTCATCTGTCCCTCCAGCGCCGGGGCGGGTCTCCGATCCAGCGCTGACTCCTCTGGGCTTGCTGGCACTTCCTGTCCCACGGTGTCTGCATGCGGGTGCACGCGTCCATGGACTTACCTTGTGTCTCTCCTCGCGTCCGGCCGAAAGTGTGATCTGTGCATGCACCCGCCCCAAGATGCTTTGAGGCCGCCCAAGATTTTTCACATTTTCGGACGGGAGCGCGCGGGGGAAGACACAGGTAAGAATTAACCCTTTTTAAATGTTTTTTTCTAACACTTTTTGCTTGCTAGCAGTAGATATATGCAAAAAAAACGGAGGCTTTAATTATTCTTTAAGTTAGTTTCCTGGCTGCTTATTAGTCCAGCAAGGGACAAGATTACTGCTTCACATCTGTCTGTGTAACACCATACAACTGTTCCACCACTCTACATTTACACTTCTTCTCTTTCTTACACAACTACCCTAAGACCTAATATGAATGCCCCCTGATGTAACCAACCTCAGCAAAATCATGTGTGAGGTATAAATCCCATGGCTACTGTCCATGCCCTGATCTGATAAAGGAAACTTGTGCTGAACATAATATACAGACTCCTATTGCTGACCACCTTCTGTAAATGCTATTTTCTAAATCGCAGACCCACAAAATGAATGGCAACACTGAAATCAGAACCACCAAAGAAACCAGAACCAGTAATATGTATATTTATTTCAGGTCAATGACCTAGGAAGTATACCGACCAAAGGAAGGAAAGGTCAGAAATGGCAGCCCAAAGATTTCTTTTTGTACAGGTTTCCTTAAAGAGAACCATGTCTAGTAGTGGGATCATGTATGTCATCTAATGTGTTAGGATAGCTGAAAGCTGAAACTACAAAAGAAGACTGATCAGTGGTGCCATCTGCAACAGATTTGGTCATTCACAGTAAAAGCCAAATCTGACAGCATGGCCAAAACCCATATTGTGTGGAGGAAAAAGTATGAGAACTACTTATATGTAATAATAATAATACAATCACATTTTCCATCTTGGGTGCTAGATATTCAAATGCATATTTCATGGTCTTCAAAAGCTGTCTTTGACTTACAAACAGGCAGAAATTATTGAAATCAACATCTTTCTGCATTTTGGCATGAGTTTGAGTGACTTTAGGCCATGCAAGAGCCATACTGGGACTAACCATTTGTGATGCCAGATTGTAATACCAGTATTTGTGCCTGTGTCATGTGACATTGTGATCATAATCAGTGGCAAAGAGAAAGTGTGGCTACAACCCACCTAAGGGACTGTCATAAAAATGATGCTTCTCTGAATGGGTTAATAAATAAGTAATAAGCTTCAAATGACTAATGAATATGCAAAGATAAATACCAATAAAACTGCTGCAAGAAAGTCAATAACTGTAATATTTTCTAAGCTAGGCAGCACGCAACTGTACAAAATAATGAAGATATTAACAAAAATTAAAAAAACTAAGATAATCACCTAGGACAGAGGGCTTCAGCAGTGACACATTACATGTGTTAGGAAGGCGTTCCGTGCCAGGGAAGTGAGAGTTAAACCGGATCCTGTCACCAAATACAGCCTAGAAATATATTTACATAAATAAGAAAAAGTCTAATGCCAAGGAATTCATAAGCTGTGACAAACACAACAATAAAAGAGAAGTCACCAGCACTCCATAAATGAGAATATTCAACTTGGATTTATTTACATAGCATCACATGCACATATAATCAACGTTTCGGGGTCAAGCAAGGTCCCTTCCTCAGGACCTGCATGGTCCTAAAATGTTAATTATTCACACATCTATGGAATGCTGGTAACTTCTCTTTGCATGTGATTTTACATGGCGCCATGCGTGGCCGACGCTACAAGCACCATCCTGTTGATTTTGTAGCAAAAGCTGTAAGGAATGCAGTTTGAAATTAGTTTTTTTTTTAATAGATACATGTATTTGCAGTGTGTCTGGGTCAGGGGTGGGCAACTCTGACCCTTCAGCTGTTAAGAAACTACAAGTGCCATGAGGCATTGCAAAACTGACAGTTACAGGCATGACTCCCAGAAGCAGAGGCATGTTGGGATTTGTAGTTAAAGCACAGCTGGAGGGCAGGAGTTGCACACCCCTGCTCTAGGTGGTTACCACTCCTGACTTACTGTGCTGAGGTCCTGGGTTCAGTTCCAACCAGGGAACACTCTTTGCATGAATTTCCTCTAGCTGTTCTGATTTCTGTCATCAATGCTGTAACATGCTGGTTGGTTTATTGGCACTATACAGTGTATGACTGCAGACTTCAGACAGTAAAATTCCTCAAAGCAGGGGCTGATATATTTAATTCTTTATACTCTCTAAAGCTGCTCATAATGTGTCAGTGCTTTATAAAAGGACAAAATAAATAAACATTAGTGGCTGCAGTCCTAACATGTAGATGGTGTGAGGGAATGAAAACTACCAGACCAATGCTGTAAAAGTATTCCTTCATGGCAGACTTTGTCAACCAAGGCTCTGTAGAATTCTAGAGTTTCTCCAGAGGTCGCCAGGGATTCCATAAGCAGTGGTGGACTGATCTCCTGGCTGCACCACCACCAATGTAGGGGGTCAATTCTTTCCTGCCCATCTGCCTAAGGAGGCAATTCTTCATTGATTATCAAGGTGCAGGTGACCTACTCTGACCACCAAGGGAAAGGGGCCTTTCTCTCTCCACTAACCACTAGTGTAAGAGGTCACTTTTTCCTCTCTGTGTTTCTTTTCTGGCCTTTATTAATATTGTTTTTCTTTTCATGATTGTTACGGAAAATCATTTTGTTGTATAGAGCAAGGGATTGTTGTAAAAGGACCTGCCTGGGGTGTCAAACACTCTAAGTATGACACATTCTTTATTGTTTGCTGCTACTTCATGGTCAGGGAAATGTACCCTAGGCTGTAAAATATTGTAAGCAGGGGTTCCCCGAGACCTGACAGTTATTTCAAAGGTTTCTCCAAGGAGAAAAGGGTGAGAATGGCTGCTTTAGAATCATGTGGCTCACCTTTAATCTCTGCTCCAGATAGTCCCGTACTTCTTGCATGTGGCTCTGATATACAGTGCAGTGTAAACTGACTAACTCTGCAGCCTGGAGGGACAGCAAAAGAAATACATGAATACACATTTTACAATGAGCTCTAGTATATGGTAGACCAGCTGGGATTGCACTAAACTCAGAACTCAGAAAACATATACAAACTAAAAAAGGAGACAAGAAAATGCTCAAGAGCATCAAATCTTTAAGGCAGAGGTCTCATGGACTAATACATTATAACTAATGGATTCCTCTGGGTTATAGATCACATCTGATATTTGTTCTGCCTTCGCTACACAATATTCAAGCTCACCTTGCCTAGCCCTGTGATCATTGGTGTATTTTCTGTTCTGTAGAAGAGAATAGATGTCAAGCAAACACAACAAACATATAAAAAGGTCAACAAATGATAACGATCCAGAATATTTTTACCATAATATTTTTTGAGGGGAAAATTCTTTATTTATAATTAAGGTAACTCTCGGTACAGAGCAATAAAGAAGTAAGCAGAAAATAATAAAACAAGAATACACGTTATGAAATAAACTAACCACTCCGTAAAGACAAAGGAAGTCCGTAGTGTTAGACATGTGCGATTCATTTCGTTCCGAAACGAAATTCGGACGAATTTTCGGAAAGTTGGACATTCGGATGTATCTGAATTACGAATTAGAGATATAACGAATGCAAACGAATCCGAATTTCCCTTTCTGAAATTCGTTAGCAGTAGTTCGTTCGAACGTTCGTTTTAAATGCTTATTCGTTTTGTTCGTTCGTTGCAGCAAAGTGACATTAGAGAGGGAGCAAAAAAATTTTCCCCCCTCAAATGTCACTTTGCTGCAACGAACGAAATGAAAACGAAACGAACGTTCGAACGAACTACCGCTAACGAATTTCAGAAAGGGAAATTCGGATTCGTTTGCATTCGAATTGACTTTCACACTCGAACCCCGAAAAACTAATTAACACAAAATCCGAATCATAATGAAACAAATTTTTTGCCAGTGCACATGTCTACGTAGTACACAACTATTGACCGTGTACAGGTCACAGAAATGCATAAATCAGTGTGAAAAATGGAGGCAAATACTTCCAGTACTTAGGTACCATTAGTTTTATGACATATCATGTAATTGAGTATAACCAACCATCCGAGATATCCCCTTTTTAAGTTTTAAACATAGATTGAAACTGGCCACATTTTTTTAAATTTTTTACTAATGGCATACACCAGGGCTCAAAATTTCCACTCGCCCCCTCGCAATTGGCGAGTGCAAAATTGCGTGGGGGCGAGTGGAAATCCAGGGGGGGGACTTCCGCCGCTTCGGCAGCGCCGATCGCTGTCTGTTTCCTCCACCCGCTTCTTGGAGCGGCACCGCAGCCTCCGACGGCCGGGCCGCTTCTCCCTCGGCCCTGGCCACGCCTCCTCGTACACCCGGCAGCTCGCTTTCAGGCCCCATTAGCGGCGCGCTGCCGGGTGTGCAAGGAGGCGTGGCCAGGGAGGTCAGGTGGGGCGACTGGTGGCGAGTAACTCTTAAGGCCTGGCTAGTAGCTCAGGACTTGAAATTTTGAGCCCTGGCATACACTATACCCTGGGATATGACTAACCAATTCAGGATGGCACCATCAAGTTGACAGGAAAGGGTGCTCTAGAAAGAAAACAAGCTTAGATGTAAATGTTGATTCAGGGGATAAAGAAGACTCAGGGGCTCAGCAACAGATGCAAATTGGTTTAAAATAAACCAGTAAGAAACGTGCCTCTTTGGTAACTATAAAAGGTACAGTGACGTCAAAAGTGGAAAAAAACCTTTGCATACAGGGGGTATGTACAGTCTGCATGTACTTTGCAACTGAGCAATGCTTACCCTGGCCTGTAATTGCGCTCCTGTCCTCCTCCATATAACATTGGCAGCAGAGGTGTCTGGTGCCCTATTCCACGAACATAAAGAGCTCCAATACGAGGCCCGTAGAACTACACAAAGCAAAATAATCACATTTAGTAAAGTAGTGTGCAGTCATTTACAGTAACTTCCGCTTATCAAAAGCTTCTAAAATCTGAATAATCAGTGGCTGCCAAGGTTTCCTGCAAGTGATTCATTGTACAAAAGGTCCCAGATCAAACAGTGATAGAAATGCATACACAGCCCACAAAGTTAAAAAAGACTGCAGGACCTGTGTGATGGGGCGTTTGTTCACTTCAGTTTATCCAAAATTGACTGCGCTAGGAAGGTGAATAAAATTAAATTAAATTAAAGTACCAGCTGCAACAATGTGTATCAGTGTGATCAGATGTGAACTAGTATGTATTCACTTCAGATGGGTTTTGCATTCTGATACAAGTCTAAAAATGCAAAACCTGCTTGAAACGGGTCAAATGCAAGTCAAAAGGTAGTCAACTACAGCTCTGATGCACCTATCAATAAATTCTATACAATCTCACAAGCATCATAAACTGATGCCAAATTGATGCCAATGGCACAAGCCAAATACCCATTGACATGGGCCCTTAATTAACGGATATAAAAAAAAATCAATAAGGAGCATTAATTACAATTATAAACATAGGAGATGAAAATGGACGTACACAATAAACAATAGTTGTGTGGTGTTGCTCAATCAAACAATTATTTTGATGTGTGACCATGGGCGTGTCTAGAGTAGTGGCTGCTGTCAAAGTTTTCTCCCATTGGTTTTGTGGTAATCTAGGGCTGCAACCAACTAGTCAATTAATCAATAATGAGAATAGTTGTCAACTATTCTCATTATCGATTAGTTGGTTGTATTCCCTAGCTCTCTCCTCCACGCTGGGAGGAGAGCACAGGAGGCAGTTGGGGGGGTGCAATAGCCAGCCTGCTATTGGCTATTGCAATTTGAAATGGCCAATAGCAGCCCACTACCTTCTGTACTGACACTCAGCTACCGTCTGTGGAATCTTGCCACTGGCAGCTGTCATTCCCTGGCTGAAGCTATTCAAGCACCATGTGCTTACAATACAATTATTAAAAACAAAATTATAAAAAAAAGGTTGGAAAAAGTCATTTTCGGTTTCGCCCTGACAAATTCTGCTGCAGGAGGTGCGTACAGTGCCATTCATTTCAATGGCACCCCAAACGCGCCTCCCACCCACAGTGTGATTGCATACCGTGCGTTCCAGTGCCATGCGATTGCAAAAAGTTTTATTCTGAAGTACATTTTATATGTCTGTAACACTGCATTTGTGTATTTTACTTTAAATTATGGATGGTATTTTTTTGTTTTTTATCCGATTAATAGAAAAAATAATAGGCCAACTCATTGATTATGAAAATAATCATTAGTTGCAGCCCTAGCAGAATCTAACTGCAAATAACTAAGGCATGCTAGAAGTGGAAGGGGTTATGCAGGGCTGTTCCTACATCGTTGATTGATTTGCCAATGCCCAATCCCCTGAAGGTGCTGCATAACCCAGTGATTGAGGACTTAATTCTGTGTCCTGTGACATATACTAAAGAAGGAAAGATGCGACTAGTGCACCAACTAAAAAAAAAAAATCTCAAGTGCAACTTTTTGCTCAAAAAAATCTCACAATCTACAGCAAAGAAATAATGGTTCAGAAACGGTTAATAATTGGCACGATAGAGGTGGGCAACAGTGCTCCAAGTGGATGATGGCGCAAGACAGTTACACATTCTACTGTGCATCATATAAACTATGTGCTGCAACATTATAGTTTATTTGCCATGTATAGCGCCAAATTAACATGTCACATGCGACAAGTCGCATTCCTCAACAACCACCAATCTTAGTTCATCTGCCCACTCACGCTTTTTAGGGATGAGCAGAGCTGAGTGGTTACTCAGGAAGTGATGAGGTTGGGAGAGAAAACTTCATTCCAAACAGAGCCTGTTGGGACATCATTTTGTAGTTCATTCACAGACAAAATGACAACATAGAATAAACACCATGGGTGACAAAATCACCCTTTGTCACTCATGTGCCAGATGTTAGGTCCCATGGTTTTCTGAGCAGACTAAGGTGGGTAATTACAGGACCAACTTTGCAAGGTAGATATTTATAGGGCAATAAAAATTGACGTATTTTGTTCAACCTACTTTGAAGAAGGACAGGCACACGCATGGTTTCTTATCATGAAAGGGTTGAATGATCATCTTTCATTGCAGTGGCGTCACAAGGGAAGTGCAGGGGGTGCGGCCCGTACCCGGGTGACACCATTGGAGGGGTGACACCAAAATGACTCACAGTCATTTTGGTGTCACCCCCCTCTGAAAAGTCGGGCGCCAGACAGTATCAGGAGAGAGGAGGGGACCGGCGGCATACCTTATCCCGCCGGGTGACTGTCCCCTTCTCTCTCTGCCGGCGTCCATCACCAAGATGGCCGCCGGCCATGCGCAGTGACGTCTCGGCGGGGTGACACTCGGTTACCGCTCTGGGTGTCACCCAGCCTCGGGACGCCCGTTTCATTGCATTGTATGTATTTACACATTTCACACATAAATGTAAATGGTTATCAGTACCTTGTGTCCAACAACAGTTAAATAATTGACTTGCAGCTCTTGAACATCCACGCTGATCTTTCCCAGCGCCTGTGCTGCATCTGTGTGTAACAAGATTGGGGGAAGCCCCTGGCTTGCACGCTGTTTAGAAATAGGTGCAAGGCGTTGTGACAGTTCATTCACAGGCTGTAAAAGAAGGAATCAGATTATAGTTATTATATATCAGTCTTCTATGAAGCCTACATACACTGCAGTCGTGGCTGAACAAATATCACACAAACAGGTAGTCAACATCCCCACACAATGACAAAACATTTTTTGCAGCCGTGTCTATCTAAATTGCCCAAGTCCTTTGAAATTGAATCTCCAACTTTAACAATTCTTTTAAAGAAAGGAGCCAACATGATACATTCTTAAAATACATGTCAAGCCATAACTTCCTATTTTATCTCTGGGACAAAAAGCAATCTCCCCAATGGGATCATGGCAAATGATGCTTGCAGCAAATATACTATCATGTTAAAAATTCATCTGCGCCCTCTTGCTGCCTCACACACTGATCTCAGCAGGTTAAGCTGGCCATACACCTACAGATTTTCTGCAGATTTTCCATGGTCAGATGGAAAAATTGCAACAGATTCCTCCATCTACACTAAACTCCGTGGATGGAGGAATCTCCCGCTGGGCCAAGCTTCAGTATCTTGCTAGTCGGCCTCGCTGGCTGACAAAAGACCTGAACAATGCCTGCATCCAATCAGATTGTTCAGGTATTTTGAGAGCCAGCGGGGCCAACTAGCAAGATACTGAAGCTTGGCCCAACGGGAGATTCCTCCATCCACGGAGTTTAGCGTAGATGGAGGAATCTGTTGCAATTTTCCATCTGACCATAGAAAATCTGCAGATAATCTATAGGTGTATGGCCAGCTTTAGAGATAGGCTACTTGGTTGTGATTGCCAAGACAGGCAATCATGAAGATGACATGCAGGATGAAAGTTCCTTAACAAAACAAACCACTTTAGCCTGCAGATTCTACTGCAGTCTAAAGATAGCCATGTGCCTCTGTTTAGTATTCTAATTCTCAGATGCATTTACAGTATTAAAAACAAAATGAAATAAAATGTAAAAATTACATTTGTCAAAAAGTAGGCCTATAATACAAAAAAAAACCCAGAGCAGAGTATGTATTAAAACACTGTACCAAACAAAAGCCTTATAAGTCCTTACAAAACAAAAAGCTTATTTAGGTAGGCAAAAGTTATTGTCAATTGTGGGCACATATTTCCGCTCATAAATTTGATCTGAGCTTCTAGACATCAATGATTGCAGGTTATGTAAGGGTCACAGGCATAACAACTAAAAAGAATTCTATAATAAATAATCACGCCAAAAAGTAGAATTACAAAGCAAAACATGAAAATGTATCCAAACCAGTACTAGGTGACCACCAACCCATTACTCACCATGATAACACCAGTTTCATTATTTGCCAACATAAAAGACACTAGACATGTGTTAGGACGAAGAGCTGCAATAACATCATCAACCTCCACTCGTCCTGTTGTAGTGGATACCGGCACAAAGGTCACCTCTGGATTACAAATAAGAAAAGAAGATATAACATTAGTTAGAAGACACAAACCCCAAAGGTAAAGCTGTGCCCTTCTTGGGTGATAAGATTCAGGGTAAAGTCAATTCATTTTGGGGGCTAAGGGACTTCAAAGGCTGCATAAATGCACCAATATGGCTCTTACAAAATCACATCCACCATCCTGGCTGTTTGACATCGGTGAGGTGGTGGAGCCCACACAAAAGCTGAGGGTATAAAGAAACCTTTCTTTGCAGACAACTTCCAAATGAATGGGCAGCAAAAACAAAACCTCATCGTTGCATGAGGGAATAATTGTCAGTCAAAGTACTGCAGCGCTGAACACTGAAAAATGGCCTGGACAGGGAGTTTAACACCCCAGTCAGCAAGTGGTTAAAAATACAACAAGGGCCATAGCCTAAGAAATGCCTGCCCCCTCCTAGCATGCTGCAGAGAAGGATCCTTGCTTTCTATGTCTAAGCAGTGGTCTCTCTGCATAGGTCCAACATCCACCCAGCTAAGTCAGAGCTAAAGCGCTCCACTCAGCATGGAGGATAAGCTTTGCTGATTGCAGAGCTATATGTCTGTAATGGTGAATTGTTTTTTTTTTTTTTTTTTCTTTCCCCTTGTATTACTTCCTCTTCAGTTATTAAAAAAAAAGAATTCAATAAGCACTGAAGATCATAATGCAATGCTGACATATATCAAACCTAAATGTTTTCTATTACATAGAGGACATCATGCGGTAGTATTTTATATGAGTGCATATCTTTGTACACTTGTATGTTTTGCAGCTAGTTATATAAGCACTGCGAAGCTTAGCAGCGGTCATTACTGTGACATGGCAGAAATGACAGGATTTATCAATGTGCATTTTCTCAATAGGGTAACATTGGCAGTAGAAGCAATTAAACAAGTACCGGCTCTGTGTGCCCTCTGGAGGTGTTGAAGAGGAAGTACAATGGAATCATGCTCCACATTCGAGGTAATGATGTGCGGCAACATCTTATCCACACTGTTACTGGAACTTTCCTTGGCTTTACTGAATTGTTCCACAGCCGAAAATAATACCATATTGTTGGCCTGCAATAGAAATTTGATGAGAGATGACCAACAGTGACATATATTTACAGGTGTTAATCTATTTAGGTTATTAATATTAAAACAGAAAATTCAACATCCAAATCAACAAAATTCTTTTTGGTTGACAAAAAACCCCATAACCCAGGTTTTCGAATACAAAGGCCTACCCTGATTAGTCTCCGATAAGAAAATTAACAGGTTTTTGACTTTGAACACCATGATAGACTTAAAGAGCGTTTATACTTTCCTCAAGTGGATGGAAAGTCTGTGAATCCCCCTATCCATACCCCATGTCCCACCTTCACAGACACACACATGCACACTCTTCCAATCTTAGCACGTTTAAGTGACAGTCTTATGTTGATAGCCAGCTTTATCATCTTGACCAACAAGATCCTTGTTGTTAAGATCATGGGGATCATTTGACCCCAGAACATCAGGGGCCAGCTCTAAGAATACAAAGATGACCTGCAGGCAGACTTAAATAGGTTGAGCACTGACCACCAATGTAAGGAGGCACTACACTGACCACCAATATATGGGGCATTTCACCACTGACTCCCAGGGTAAGTGAATGCTTTACCACTAACCAGCAATGTAAGGGCACAGTGCACACTCCAAACATACCATTGACTGCTGCACTCAGAGGACTATACTGTACATAACATACTCCTGACCACAGCGCCATATAAGTTGTGCTTTGCTCTTTCTTTCTATGTTAATGATCCTTTGTGTTGAGGTTTGTGTGCGTCTGTGAGACTCTTGCTTGTTGTACACTGGTGAAGGTATATTTTGTGAGTACAAGGACTGCGAAATACAGCTTTTATTTAATATCCTGTTAAGCCATGCCCAGTGTTCAATGAAATGTAGCCACATTTGCTTGTCCAAAGGTGCACCCCACAATTCTAACAACTTGCCTGGTAAGTATTATTGGGAGCAGTCAAAATCTGCCGCAGGGAGATCTTGAGATAGATAAAAAGCCCCCCATGCTCAACCTGGAAGGAAAATATCCCTTTTGGGTGTACTAAATAACCAGTAATTATTATTAAAATATATGTGAATCCTGCCTATCTTAAATCTCTTGAACAGCTAAGAATACTAACCTAAGGAAACCCCTTTAAAAAAAAAAACTATATATATTTTTAAATACCTTGTTGTTTCCTATTGCTTACAAGCACTCACGACCGCTATGCAGGCGCTATCTCTCGGGCTCCGAGGGGTGGGAGTGGAGACTCCTTGTAAAGACCGGAAGCTTCTTCCGAAGTCACACATGCCAGGCACTCAGGGCCGGCCTTAGGGGTGTGCGAGCCGTGCGGCCGCACAGGGCGCCATGGCAACCAGGGCGCCGTGCGGCCGTCACAGCTCGTCCTGTGGGCGGCTTCTCTCCCCCTCACCGCTGGCCATCCGATATGACAGCGCTCCCTCGACTAAGGCCGGCCCTGCAGGCACTGTTACTCAAACAGTGCAGTGCTGGGTAGGGGAGTAGGATTGGCAGACCTCAGCAGCTTTCTGACCCCTGGAATACAGACATGCAGTACCTAGGTCCAGGCCCGTAGGTCCAAAACAAAAAGGCACAGATGCCAACTGACCATGGTAGGACAGATCTGCTTTTAGCGTGGTCAGAAGGAATCTGGGTTAAAGGGACCCACAAGGATCACCAGATGTGTAATGTAAGTTGATGCTTTTTAGAAATATAAAGGACTTTCTACATACATTGTTGGGGATGACAGAAACCAATCCTTAAAGTGGCATTAAAGGTAACATTTGTTTCCCCTCCCCCCAATGTTAATGTTAGCACTTACTTTAAATGATGTCTCTTAGTCCAATCTTCTTCTTCTTTCCTGATGTTTTCATCTGTCCCTCCAGCGGTGCGGCGGCTCTCCGATCCAGCTCTGACTGCTCTGTCCTTGCAGGCATTTCCGATCCAGCTGTGTCTGCAGGCGGGTGCACGCGTCCATAGACTTACCTTGCATCTCTGTTCGTCTCCCAGCCGAAAATCCGAACTGCGCATGCGCCCGCCCAAAGATGCTGTGCGGCCGCCCGAGCAGTTTCACTTTCTCGGGCGGGAGCGCGCAGCGAAGACGGGGTAAGTGTAAAGTGCTGTTAAAGCGTTTTTGTTTTGTTTTTTTTTACTTTTTGCATATACCTACTGCCTGCTAGCCTTATATATATGCAAAAACGGAGGGTTTAGAAACCCTTTCATTTTGTAAATTAGAATTCACATACACTTTAAATTATTTTCTTTTTGCATACATAAGATAACACTGGGAAAAAATATGCTACTTGGAAGATTTTCCACTTTTACAGCTCACTGCATGTCTGAAGGACTTTTGTTGATGCTGGATTTCAGAAAAGACAAGAGAGAGAGGCTGTTTTACTTCATGATTCAACAAGAACACCGGCTCAATACTCCACGCTTGTCTATGTTCTAACTGTCCAGGACATAGGGACCCATGCTAACTTTTTAATAGGAATACATTTTAAAATGGCTTTGCCTATATTATGCGGTCTTAGAAATTAACAATGGTTAACAGAGATATTTTCCATTTATGCAATAAAGAATTCTAAAAGATATCACACCATAAAACAATAACCACTGACCTCAAATATATTTCCTGTGTCCTGAATCTTCTACATTGTCCTGGCATTAGAAAATGTGTTTCAAGACTGCTAATGTAGTAATCCCCAGATTTAAAAATACATCTATTGTACAAATAAACATTGCCAGACTCACTTCTGTTCCTCCAGAAGTGAAGATGATATCTTCTGGTTTTCCTCTGATCATGCTGGCAATGTGTGCCCGGGCTTTGTCTATTAGCTGCTTGGCAATACATCCTGAAATGCAATAGATACATAAAAAGAATACCTTAGCTTCAAAGTATTACTAAATATAAAGCTGAAATGCCCACACTGTCTGCGTCCAGCTGTGGCACCCGGACCTACATGGCTGTCCAGGTCATATTCATGTTACCACAAATAAAGAGTTTACCAAAGACACAGAATACCTCTATGTCCATGAATGCAAAAATGTGTGGAAATGTGACGGTCTTCATGTACAGAATAACAATATTTTTGTCTTACCTGTAAAATCCTTTTGTGGAGTACATCAAGGACACAGGGAGTTAAATCCTTTAACCACTGGGTTATGTAGCTACTTTTAGGTGAATGAACACTGGAAAATCAATCAAAGCTGCAGGTCAGCCTTGCATAACCCCTTCCACTCCTGCCGCAATTTTGTAGCATGCAGTACAGAGTGGAACACAGAATGCCCCAAAATATGGATTGTACAGGAAATAATAACATCCGAATCTTATTCATGCATCACGGGACACAGGGAGTTAAATTCTCTAACCATTGGGACATTCAAAAGCAGTTCAACAGAAACACAGCCGACAAGGCTAACAAGCCTCAAAAAAGTAACAGTCAAAGAACTGCCTGAAGGATCTTAAGACCAAAACTGCCATCGACAGAGGCCTAAACATTCACCTAGCAGAACTTGATAAAAGAATGAACTGGACAAAGTGGCAGCATTACAAATTTGGAATACTGACGTCCGATGCTCAATGGCTCAAGAGGCTATAATTCTTCCAGTAGAATGTACTTTCACAGGCTTGGAGGTGTAAAGTACCCTGCCACTACTCTCCATGCACCACAAGTGCCAAGGTGGGTGCAAACTAAGGGTCCAGTGACTAAGCATATTACAGGTTAGTCCCGCCTCTTCTGTCTGGCAGGGTCTAGGCACCATCCGCCAAGGCTTTGCAGAGAAGAAAACTGCATAGCTGCTCAAGGTGCCATAGCGGCTTTAGCTAAACACACAAGCAGTCTGGGAATGGGTGGGGTTATACAGGGCTGTCGTGTAGCTTTTTTGATTTGTCATTGCCCTGTCTGCAGAACATAGGTCCAAAACTCAATGGCTAAAGAATTTGACTCCCTGTGTTCTGTAATGTACAATCAAAAAAGGGCATATATACGTAAATGTTGTTATGGGTTGGTGAACAGGGAACATTGGAAGTGAACTGCTAGTAAGTACCTGCTGCCAAGGTCACTATTTCTATTAGTTATCTGCAGTTTAATTGGTTAAACATGATGAGGACAACGGGGCCACCAAGCAGACAAAGTGATAAATACAGGACAAACGGTAGCCTGGATATCAAACAGAAAATAATAGCATATGCTGTAGGAAAATGTATCTCACCATAAATTAGGTTTAAGTATTTTTTATATTATATATTTTTGTGTTTTCATACCATTTAATGTACTGCTTTTCTGAAGAGCATTGAATGGCTGTGGTAGAGGCAGGTTTTCACCGTACAGCAGCCATTTTGCTTGAAGCAGTCAGCTAATTCCAAGTACTTAGTCAGCATACATTTGTAAGGTAGCTGTACACAAGCATTAACTACTTTAGCAAGATTACTTTTTAAACTTTAAAGACTTCCACTTGGTGAACTACACATGTAGCAAATGTAATTGAAGATGACAAAACATGTTAATGTGATAGGCCTAAAACACCAGGCCTGTGACCTACATTAACAATGTATCAGTCTGAAAAGAAGCTCAAAGCTGAAGACTGAAACACAAGAAGGTTTGCCTCATCTTTATTAATGACTTTCCTGCTATCTTTATAAGCTTGGTTATGATTTTTGGTGTTAGACCATACTGTTAAACAGAATATTAAATTGGATTTATTAATGTTGTATAAGAGCATACTAAACCTTAAAAAGGCACCATATATTATGAGATCTGAAGACACAGGTACAAAGTATTTAAATAAAATATCACTTTTAATTAGCAATATTAAAAGCAATTTGCTACAAAGATGCACCTAAAAAATATATATGGGGGGCCCAGCAGTATGTTATAAAAGAACTTCACCCTCCTTTATTAATTTTTTCCTCTAGTCCCCTCTTACCTTGTCCACTGGGTTGTACTAAAAATAAAATGCATCTGTTTTTACCACCCTTTTGCTGCCCGTGTAAATGAGGCCTTAAAGTGACATTAAACCCTAAGATTTTTTAACACAAAACAATACTGTAATGTGTGCCTTACTGTAATCCATGGTTGTTTCCCTTCACTTTGCTGCTCTTCCTTTTAAATCTGTATCTGGTCTCATGCTCTGCAGAACTTCTGTTTTGCAGCAGACTGTCTTGTCTCTGGAATGGATACATGGTGTCTGTGTGCAGGCTCACAACCAGCACTACAGGAAGAGGCACTCAGCTGCAAAGGGAAGTTCTCCCTCAGCATGAGAAGTGATACAGATTTAAAAGGAAGAGCAACAAAGAGAAGGGAAACTACCATGGATTACAGTAAGGCAAACATTACAGTATTGGTTTATGTTACAAAATCTGAGGGTTTAATGTCACTTTAAGGCGCTCATGCACTGGACGAATTTCAGCCGGTTTTAAATGTACTGGCCGAAATTCAAACAGCGTGTGGGGCTGTCGACCTTTCAGCTGGTATTCCTCGATCAGCTGATCAAAGGAGCCGGCTGGAAAATGAGTTTGCCCATTCTGATTGGGTATTCTGACAAGTTCCGACGGCACCTATAAGAATACAATGTAAACAATAGGATTCCTCGATCCACACGCTGTTTGTGTCGATGGAGGAATTGCGTCAATGTTTTTCTTTAAGCCCGCGGGTTGGACGATAAAAATTGATAGGTGTATGGCCAGTTTTAGGGATAATAGCAGAATTCCAGCAGTAGGGGGTAACATGCAATATGTGGTTTGGATGGATGTCGTGTTAGCAAATGCACAATCTCAAACAGCAGCAAAGTTCACACAGTAATCATAATGTGTAACAGTCAGTCAGTTCACTAACTTGCAAAGTTGTGAAGACGGCTAACATGCATAAGTTATATCTAGGTAAAGTGCACATGCTTTCCGCAGGTGATGTCTCTCTGTATATGATGAACAATGTAATGTCCATTGAGTGGCAAATACACAATATCAAGGCCAACAGCAAAGTTCAAACTGTGATTAGAATGTGCTGCTTGAGGCTTGCACCCTACTTTTGTGACGTGTAACAGGTCAGTTTCCCCTTCCAGCATGCCATCTGTATATAACCATTCTCCTAGCAAGTGCCCTGTACTGGGAGTACTTTTAGGCCCCATTCACACCTAGGCGTATTGTAAAATGCACATCTGTCGCGCGACCGTCACGCAGTTTTTTTACCGCGATGCTGCATTTTTGCAGATTGCACTGGACCGGAACGCAGGCATTAATCACACTGAGGGCGAGGTACATGGCTCCGGTGCCATTGACTTCAATGCACCGCCACGTCCCCTCCCGCCCCTGATGCGTTCTAGAAGCCGAACACTCTGGAACGCAGACTTTGTGGTGTGCACCGGCCCTCTTCTCTCTCTCTTCACGCTCTCTCCTATCTCTCTCCCCTGTTTCTATCTATTGTCTCTTCTCTCTCTGCTGTCTCTTCTCTCACTTTCTCTGCTGTCTCTCTCCTCTTTGTATTTTCTTACCTCCACTGCAGCTGCTTCCCAAGTCTCCTCTCCTCCCCGTCTGCGGCGCCTTACACATTCAGCCACACGAGCACCGCGAGAGGACAGGACCCAGCTCAGTGAGCTGATCGCGATCTACCAGTGTTCGCTTTGTGATCTACTGGTAGATTGCGATCTACCTAATGGGCACCCGTGACCTACATATTTGTGTTCCCTGTATTTGGGATAAATAGGAGAAAATCATTTAATGAAAATATTTGGAATAGTAATAACTATACAAAATATGTTGAGTATCTATCAAACTAAAACTGCAATTTTTTACATTGTTGTCCATTTGTCAGCTTACACAAATCAAAGCTGGGTATTTATTAAAATGATGTTCCATTTAAAAGCCCCATCTATCCAGAAACATGTAAAAAAAAATGGTAGGCAAATAGTCACAGAGTTAATGTGAGGTTGACAAATGCATACTAAAAATGATGAATTTGGCCTGGACGTCCAGGTTTCAATGGCCCCAGGTCATAAAAGGGTTTAAATCTCATATGTAGAGAAAAAAAGACAATATTAGACTGTGTAATAATAATAGCTATTAGTAGAATAATCAATATTTAAATGGAACTGAACTAAAAGAAAAATATGAGCGCGGGTAGTTTTTAAAAGGAGGAAGATCTGTAAGTCTCTTCTGCCTACAAACTCCTCCCCCTTTCTTTTCCTTACGTTTTTTAATGAACATTGCCTGCAGCACACGTGGAGTGTAATATACATTCCTGGTATCTTCGGAAGAGGCAATGCCATCACTAGCCGCCCCAAGTGGAGAGGCGCAGACAGCGGAAGAGGCTTCGAGGAAGATGGAACAGCACTAACAGGACTATTACCCAAACTGTACTGCAACAATCTTACGTAGTCCAATTCTCCATGTGTTCTCTGAATCCACCACAAACCATCAATGTGTTCACGGGATTGGTTGTACGACTGATATGTTTTTTCATGACCAATACCGATACTGATTATGGGCCACCATTCAGGCCGATAACTGATATCAGGTACCGATATTCTGTTTAAATCCAACCGCGGAATCTTGGCCATGACAGGCTGGCTATTCCACCCACCCACTGCCTGCTGTCAATAAGCAGAGGAGCAGCCCTGAGGAAGAACAATTTGGGAGGGGTGGTCATGAAGGAATCCCCGCTAATTGGCTGCCAGCTCTGTTCAAACAAAGATTTTCAGACCGGCTCCTTCGATCAGCTGATCGATGGATGCTGGCCGAAAGGGTGCTGCGTATTTCGGCCTCAAGGGTCAGCCGAAATTCGCACAGTGTATGGCCACCTTTATTATCGGTAAATGTAACCAATACCAATAACCTACAAATTTGTGAATGTGGGCCCTGACCCCTAATTTCCACTACATGTATACAAGTCCACAGGTCTCACCCGCACTGTAGCTGCTGCTGGGATTCCCCCAGGCCTCTTGCAGAGCTCCTGTCACTGCCTTGACCACTTCTGCAGATAAAGGAGTAGTCGCATTGTAGTCCAAGTAGATCTTGCTGTAGAACACAGGGAACAAAACTTAGGTCTTTCTGAGAATAAGAGACTTAAATAAAATCAAAACTTGAAATACTATGTTATTAACACTGTATCATTGCAGCGCTTGATTTATTACCCATCAGGGACACCATCTGCATGGAGTCTGTATGTTCTTATCACGTGGGGGAGCTGAACAACACTGTGAGGTGAATTTATTAAAACTGGAGGAGACAAAATCTGGAGCAGCGGTGCATGGCAACCAATCAGCTTCTCTCTTTCATTTTAAAATCTTAACTCAACAATATGGGTTGCATGGTGTCACTGGTAAGAGCTGGACAACCAGAGCACAGACAGAAGTCAAACATGGAGCTCTGCATTTATCAGGTACATGTGTTATATGGATGTTTATTGTTCATTGAGTAATTTTAGGGGGAACTTCCACTTTACACTCCAACAACATCCAACACTGAGCTTACATAGGGTTATGCCCCAAAACAGATTGGTGCGGGAGTGTGAGGAAGGTATTAGTGTGTTGGGGGTTTAGCCAAGACATCCAAACAATAACATCTTGTCCTTCTGAGACTCACCTCTTGGAGTGATTTTCTGTGTCCTCCAGGTGCTTCTTTTCTTTTATGTCTGCCATGAGGTTGAATCTGTTATAGAAGAAATGGTAAAGATGTCTCTCACACATTAGCTTCTCCCTTAGTCATAGACAAATCCATCCAACACCTGACCCTGAACACCACTCATATTGAGTGCATAGCTACCAGTGATACCATATTATAGCCAGCACCCCATGATGAGCCTCAGGTATATATTGAGGGTTCAACAACCCAAGTGACAAAGAAAAAAACATGTTCCTTTAGTGATACTTCAGAACCTCATGGGATCCCTTTCAAAGTGATAGACAAACCTTGTCCCCTGTTAGTCACCTTGAGAAAAGGGTCCCGTGAGGCCCCGAGATGTGAATGCATCTTGCTGAGCCTTGCTGAGCCCTCAATAACTGAGGCTCATTATGTGTTGCTGGCTTCTTCTATTTTAGGAGCTATAGTACGGTATCACCGGCCACACTTTGTCACTTGATCACATGATTGGGCTCCTTGGGATGCCAGGACACTGTTTTTTTTTCAGAGCTTCTGTTGCCTTTTATGATCTAAAGTGACATCAAACCTGTTTTTTTCCAAACTTTTTTCGGTTATAGGGTCAGACTTACTTTTTTTTAAAAACCCCTCTATTTTATTCTTTCATTTTTTTCCCCTTGTTCTCTAATGGTATCGAAACTGCTAGCCCCTACCAGTGCCTCCATCAGCTCGCCTCCAACGCTCACGGCCATGCCTGCACCTAGCTGTGTGTTTCTATAGACACACACAGCGTGCCGCAAGCCATGCCCCCACCCTTGCAGTCAAACTTTAACTGACGGCAGAAGGAGCCTATGGCTCCCCGCCCTCAGTACCTTCCCCCACGACCAGGAAGTTCAGGGAACGCCGAGTAACTTCCTGGTTGTGGCGGAGAATTGTAGCGACCACCGTCCGTTCGGCCGGTCAGCGCTGGCGGATCGGGGAGGGGAGAATCCAGCCCCTCCCCCTGTCACGGCAGAGAGCCGTGACAGGATCGAGAGGTGAGGGAACGCCGGTATGTGTTCGCTCACCTCCCGATCTACTGAGCTGACCTGTGACAGTCTCATTGTCACAGGTCGGCTAGAACTATGAGGTGAGTGAAAAGCACTCACCTCATAGTTCTCCTTTAATGCAGAGAATGCATTAAAGTAAAAAATACCAGCCAGCCTTTAGTACTACTAAGGCCTCATTCACACAAGAAAAGGCCGACACGTACAGCTCTGTGCTGCGTGCACGGCCATCTCCCGGGAAGGACAGGTGCTGTGTGTGATTAGTACGCAGCCCCAGTCCTTCTCTATGGGAGTACGCGGCCATACGCCGCCCTACGCTCACCCCAAGTGCAAGTCCATACGTGTGCGGGTGTCCCGGCTCGGACACAGACAGGATCCATCCTGTCAGCGTACGCGTGCAGACACCCGGACGGACGTGCAAGGGCGGGTGAGCGTACTCCCATATAGAACGACGGGGGCTGCGTACTAATCACACGCAGCACCTGTCCTTCCCGGGGGCTCCCCGATACAGCCGTGCACGCAGCACGGAACTGTACGTGCCGGCTTTTTCTTGTGTGAATGAGGCCTTAGGGAGTGAGGTGACAGGGTAGCAGAAGGTCCATATTTGATTCTAATTATACTTTAAAAAACACCTGCATGATTAGGCACCGATGGAAGCAGCAATTACCTGGCCATACACGGTAATATCGTCTTCATTCAACGAAGAATATCTAACAGATTCCTCCATCAAAGCTTAGGAGCATTGATTGAAGTATCTCCCGCTGTCTTCATTGTATTCTGACAGCGCTCGGCGGCCTCCCGAACCCGAACAGAGCCGCTAGCTCACTGGCTGCCAGCTCTTGTTTGTTACGATTTTGCAACCGACCCCTTCGATCAGCTGATCATCAAGAACCAGCCGAAATTCGCATAGTGTATGGTCACCTTAACCCCAGGGCAGTTATTTGGCAAATAGGTTCAAGCCTCACTACCCCAGAACTACTAGAAGCCAAAGCACACTTGGCGCCCCGACAAAGATCAATGTTCTAACGTGTTTTTATTTTCACAGGAATGGAATATTTAGGAGCTACGAGGAGCTACTCGTCTTCCTTTTCAGGCCCCAGCCTGCATTATTACCTTCCTAGAGCTGTGACCTCACATATTACATCATAGTAGTAGAATAAACCTGCAATAACATCATATACTAATTCCCAGGAAAGGTATGAACACGCACTGGTCTTATAGGCTAATTCCCACCTGTTCCTATATTTCGGGTATAACATACAACAGGGTCCCCCAACCTGTGCATTGCACGCATTATCCAAATTAAAAAAAATACACATTCAGGGGAATTCATCATAACTGGAGAAGACAGAATCAGGTGCAGTTGCCCATGGCAACCAATTTATAATCTCTTTTCAGCTTTGAAGTTGAGACATTGAAGCGCACTGGTTATTGCTCCAGCTTCTGTCTACTCCAGTGTTGATAAATTCCCCTTATTGTTTTTAATCACAGTGGGTGGATTTAGGATTTTTTTTGCAAAAGGTGAAATTATTATTTGCGCTGCAACCCAATCCAACATTTTTTTTTTTAGTGGAGAGGGATAAGAACGCCTGGCAGGTTTATCGCTGTCTGTGTCATCTCTTTAGAGATTAACCCTCTCTATTTGTCCTGGTGGCTGTTATCTCTGAAAGTGAAGGACAATCCCAAATTGTGGGTTGTCACCAGAACAGAAGCAGATGGAAAATCTTCCAAAGGGGACACTAGTTCTGATGAACCTGCTGACCATTAAGGATTTTCCTCCATATGGAGGGATTTCCTCTCACTTCCTGTTGTAGTAATTTTACAGGAAGTGAAGCAAAATCTCACCAGTGGGACACGTTTGGCAAAAAAGATGACAAGGGTTATAACCCTTCCTTATCTAAAAGTAAAAGAAATTAATAAAAAAAAAGTTTTGGCTTCAGTTACACTTTAAAGTCTATGCCGAATGCCAGCCCCCTCAACATTGTTTGGAATACATTTGTCTCAGATGGTTCTAAATGAGAGAAAACAGAACCGGCAAGTCCTCCAGCTGCCAGAACCAAGCACGCAGCTCTGATTATACAATGCGATGCCCACTAGGTGGCGCCATAACAGTTTGTGTACAGCTGTTCCCAGACTTCACCATAAAACACAATAGCAGCTCCGGTTTTCTGTCTATAGTAAAAACTTCCGGCACAAGACACCGCACGTTGTCTCTGGGATGACATACAGGCAGGGGACTGGACGCCGCTACACCTGCATTAGCCCTTCGCTGAAGCCGATCCCTCTCCTGTGTGTACTCTCACTTACATGCTCACGTGTAGAACGTCAAGAGGAAAAAGACCATAGAGAAGACGTAAGGGACTGTAGGAAAGTCAGGCAAACCATCGAGAAGAGATAGAGCGCCCAGTCATGTGACACGGAAACTAGTGGAAAGCGGACTTTGGTGTTAGTCTAATGTGATACAGTGTAATATAAAAGTCTAATATCCCCGGGAAGGTCTCTGCTCTCACTTACCTGATTCCCAATACAATTCCCTGCATATGTACGATGTGTTCAATGTATCAGCAGGGGTCAGGCCTGACAGTTATCTGTGCTGGATTCTCTGCACCCCCTTCCCCCCCTTTAACCACTTGAAGTCCGGGGTGTTAAACCCCCTTCACATCCAGGCCATTTTTCAGTGTTCAGCGCTGTGGTACTTTGACTGACATTTATTCCGTCATGCAACGCTGTACTGAAATGAATTTTATACCATTTTTTGGGGACAGATAGAGCTTTCTTTTGGTGGTATTTATTCACCACTGGGGTTTTTATTTTTTAATATATTAAGGAAAAATATATTGAAATTTTTAAAACAGAAACAGTTTCCCCTATATTAAATGATAAAACATTTATTATTACCCAATTTTTTAGTAAAATATAAAAGACGGGGTCACGTCATGTAAATAGATACCAAACATGTCAAGCCTTAAAATTGCACGTGCGCGAAAACCTCAAAAAACTACAATACCCAAAATTGGCCATTGGCGACACTTTAAAAGCTTTTACCGCTCATCAGTTTAGTGTTATCAGTGATTGATGGCCCTAAAATTATTGCTCTC